GTTGCCCCACCCCGTATTTCACATCTTCCCACAACGCAAAGGAAAGGAAACCCCATAAGAGGCCCCACGCCAGTGTTTACAGGTGACAGCAAACTACACAGAGTAGCAATGAGCATTTATTTAGAACGTACAAGCCATGTAAGGCTGCTGGCTTCCACCTGAAATCTACCGAGAAACTATCTTCCACACACAAAATTCATCCTGGAATGATGACAAAGGCAGTGAATCAAGAGGAACGTGACCGGGGTTCTAGACACACATCCCTCCTCAGATGAGTGACAATGGAACCCCTTCCTCTCTCTCGCCTGGCATGAAGCATCCTCCGTTTAGCTTGGTGCCGCTTGGGGGGACTGGTCGCTGGAGCATTTACAAATTGCCGGAACACCCCTCAGGACTTTATGTTATGAAACGGAGCGTCTCAAAGCACTGGGAGTCCTGATTTGTGAACTGGGCTGTTACAGTGGTTTAATTTCCTGAAATGTAGCCGCCTTCCTAACTAATAGATTTTTCAATGCGCCGAGGAGAAAACTGCATTAGCTCCTGTGTAGCCTGAACTTAATATTTTTAGAAGCTGCAATTCTTCATATTACAGAGCACAGTATGTATTTATGTGTGTACACTTAGCACAGTGTTTGACATACAGAAGGCGCCCAATGAATCGTGTTTTTCTTTTTTAATCCTCACCGGAGGATATGCGTTTCATTGATTCTAGAGATGGAGGGAGGGAGAGGGAGAGAGAAACATCAATCGATTGCCTGACACATGTGCCCCAACTGGGGATCGAACCCACAACCTGGGCATGTGCTCTGACTGGGAATTGTACCTGTGACCTTTTGGTGTATAGGATGACCAACCAAGCCACACCGGCCAGGGCAGGGATAACTTTTTAAGCACCTGTTTAATATGACCTCATTTTAATAAAGTTGTCTACTGATAGTAGAGAATTTACATGGTATTAAAAATAAAAATGTAAGTCTTAAAATTTAGAGTTAGGATTTTCCTCCAGTTTAGCCTACATTAACCTGAAAGTTTCAGAATTAAATTCTTGAGGAAAAATCTGGCAATTATTTTTAAGAGTCTGCTTCTGTATAACCAATATCTAAGTCACCTTCTTTATGTTTCACTTTGTTCTATTAAAATAGCATTAGGAAAAGTTATCAATAGATACACCCATTAAAAAGGAAATCTATTAAAGTTTCAAACAAAACAGCTCTGTTTCATTTTTGACCACGGAAGCCATGTCTTACATACTCAAAGTTGAGTTTACCATTGGTAAGAGGACTAAGAAACTTTTTTGTAGCAAACATGGCATAATTTTATCCTAAAATTAATTATATCATGTTATTATTGTATGTGACGTTGGAACTGAATAGATAGGACTTTATCTATGGAAAAAAGAACTTACCGTGGAGTCCGGGAGAAAATACTTGCAGTTGGAAAGAATCAGAAACACAGGAGATGCTGAAGAACAGATCAGTAAAAAGGAAAATGTATAGAAACCACAGTGTAGAGCAGTGATCAATCAGTGAAACCTGAGCAGCAGGGAAAGCTAGGGAACGTTTGGGACTTGGACTAGTCCTTAAAGAAAAGGAGACATTTAAAACATTTTGGATAATCTTCTACCAAGAAGATGAACCGTTACTTAGAACTGCTATTGCTGGATTTGTAAATGGTGTGTGTGTTAACCAGTGCCCTGAGAACTAAGTTACTGATGAAATAAATAAATGCGTAATATAACTGAATTACTACTAAAATTTATCCCATTCGTATCATACCATTTAAAATTATATTAATATCATTATAAGACATATTATTAATATGTAACCTATAATTAAACCTTAATATTTGGTTTTACTGAATTTTAACAAATTTTATTTTTTATTTTCAGCATATGCCTGTTTTGAATTACTACTAGACTCATAAGCTCTCAGTACTATATTGAGAACTATTTTCAGTTTATATCTGATTTTTCTAAGAAGGATGTTCACACTTCAGTTGCTTTAAAAAAAAAACACCCCTCTAACTTTTATTATGTGCAGTAAGTGAGCTCATTAATAACAATTTAGTTTAAAAATAATACCAAGTTCTATGATAATTTATAGATTTCATAAGGAGCATGTATAGTTTCAGAATTGTTCTATACTTACAAAATGTGGAATTAAGTTATACCTAGGAAAAGCTTGATTTTCATATTGTGTTACTTAATCATTTCTTTCCCATCGTAGTCTGTACAGGTCAGAAAAGAGGGAAAGAAACCCAGGGAGGAGGAAGTTCATCGAAAAAGCAGAAACGAAGCCATAAAGCAACAGTGGTAAACAACAAAAAGAAGGGAAAAGGCAGTAAGTTGTAAAACCTCTAATTTTTTTAGATATAAAAATAATGGTGGATATATTGATCACTTTGTAAGGTATATAAATGTTGAGTTACTATTTTATAAGCCTGGAAGTAATCACTCTATGTCAACTATACCAGTAACTTTAAAAATTATGGCGGATATTTTTCCCCCATTAAGGTATTCAGGATGTGGTATAAGTCAATATATGTATTTTATTTAATCCTCACCTGAGGATATGTTTTTTATTGATTTGAGAGAGAGAGGGGAAGGGAGATAGAAAGAGAGAGACACGAGAGAGAGAGAGAACCATTGATTGGTTGCCTCCTGTACCAACCTGCAACCTGGGTATGTGTCCTGACTGGGAATTGAACCCGAGACCTTTCAGTGTATGTATGGGATGACGCTCCAACCAACAGAGCCACACCGGCCAGGGCTAAGTCAATATTTTAATTTTGCCACTACCCATAAAATGTCACACAAGTCTTCAGATCCTAGGTAAATTCTAGGATTAAGCAGTTTGGTCTTATTCAGCAGTGTTATTCATTGCTGATGAATATGAATGATGAAGAATGAATGATGAATGAGCCAGCAATCTTTTTTAAAATAACAGCTACCGCTCCTATAATATAAACAACATTTTCATGTTTGTTTTATGCTCCATAGTTCTTTCCCCTTGTCATTTCACATTATGAAATGCTTCAGTTATGTATTATTTTTACTACAATAAATTGATTGCTTTTAATTCTTCAAGGCAAAATCAGCCTAGGAGAGAACAATCTAGACAGCTTTGGCGCTGTAATCCCAACAACTCCAGTTACCACCTTTATCTTGGGTACCTCAAGCCATGTGGCCAAGAGTAGCTATGAGCAATATACACTATATCCATTGGTTAAGTGGGCTCTAACTAAAGACTTAACTTTATCAATGACTGTTCATCGACCTACAGGAATATATATACTGTATTTCTCCTGAGAGCTGCACATTTTACCTCTCTCTCGTAGACAAAGTGAGAAGCGGAAAATATGTAAAGAATTTTTTTTCAGGTGTCCCACACTGACCCCTGCTGCTCTTCCAGGAGACTCCTGCCACCTCCACTGCCTCACCTTTGCTATCGGCCGGCTTGGCTGCACTTCAGTGCAGAGAGGGTTATGCGGCCAGCGCCCCGAGGTTCTGCTGAGCCCATATGACTTCCAGGCGGTGAATATGGCGTTCCTTGGGGCCCCGGGCGGCTGTGCTCAGCAAGGCCGTGAGAGCCAGGCTGAGGCAGACCACTGCACCATAGTGCACTGCACCATAGTGGGGCCGAGCCGTGGGGGCTTAGCCAGGAGTTGCCAGGGGTTCCAGAGCAGCAGCGGGGGGTCTGGGAGGGGATCTGCTGAGGAAATGTGGTGTAAGGAGTGGTGGAGTCTCTTTATTCCTAGAACACCACGGTGGAGGAGATGCTACGCACCTTCCCTGTCTGGAGTATTTTTCAGGCCTAGAGCCTAACCGTATTCTTTCATTTTTGGTAGCTGTTGTTCAGTGAAGCATCAATAAATAGATGCCCATTTGATTGTCAGTTATTTGGAGTAACGACAGTGTAGACAGTTAAAGCGTTTTTTAATTATACTATGATGTTTTTGTCTTCAAGACTTTACCATTTAAATGACGTTTCCTAAGAGGGGTCACCTTCAGCAACACAGTTAACATTCATATAATTTAAGATAAAACTGTTGGTTGCTTTCTCACATTTTAATTATTGGGCTTACACCCTGGTAGATCAGAATGAGGATACCATCCATTCTTTGAAAATAATTCAGTTAAATGAATTACCTGTCATGGAATCTAAAATAATACTTTTTATCCAGAAAGAGGAAATTGATGGGAAAATCAGTGCCATCATCTAGTCAGTCACATGTTAAATTTATCAAGGTGTTTACCATTTCTATGGCACTGAGGCTTTAGCCAGCAAAACAGATGTAACATAATATTGCATAGACCTCAGAATTTTTCATAAATTGCTGTATCTATTTACCAGGGTAAAACTGATGGTTTATTGCAGTCAGCAAGCTATGATGTAGGAGTTATTTAAGAAATTCATTGTATGGATCAAAGTTTAGTGTTTACTCCCGAATAATCTTTATTGAACATGATGATTATGCATCATTGTTTGTTTGTGGCCAAAGGCGTAGTATGCATTTATACAACCTAAAGTGTTAAAATTAAGAAGTTTCTATAATGAGTCGGTTTAAAAGATTCTGTATTCTATTTTTTTATATATTAACATAATGGAATAAAAAGCTATTCAGATAATTATTGTATACTTGACAGTCTACCAAGTATAATGGAAGATTAGGGTTGTTTTTTGGGTTTTTTTTTTAAGTACTATTGGCAACTCAGGTAAGGAGTTTTGTTTTGCTTCACTGTGCCGGTGCATTTGTACACGATGATTTTTCCAGCATTTAGGCAGCTTCTATAGAACAAGTTGTACACTGTAGTAATAAATTCAGATGGTCAATTTTAAATTGTCCATTAAAATCTGTGGCAAAACCTTTGTTACTGTTCTGTTTCTAATGCTTCTCTTTTGCTTGTGTTTTCAGCCAACAGTAGCGACAGTGAAGACCTTTCTGCCGGGGAGAGTGTCACCAAGACGCAGCCCGTCAAGTCCCTGTCGGGAATGAAGGCTCAGGGCGCTCACAGCGCCAAGGCGCCCGCGCGGACACAGTCGCCGGGAAAATGTGGGAAGAACGGGGACAAGGACCCTGACCTCAAGGAACCCAGTCATCGGTTGCCCAAGGTTTACAAGTGGAGCTTTCAGATGTGTAAGTGGCAGATACTGAGTGGGCAGCTGGTCAGCCTGCAGAAACTTTATCCGAGTAACTCTTTGAAAAGCAGTTTATAACCAAGCTTAAGAGTCCCAATAACCCGTTGCATGATAGAGACTTTATTTGGATCTTGATTTGAATAAACAGATTGCTAAAAGAAAAATTGGAAGGTAATTGAGGAAAATATCAACACAGGCTAGGTACTTCTGATATGGGGTGGGGAGTGCAAGGGGTATAAATGAGACGAGATTCGACATCAATTGCTAATCACTGAAGGTGGATGATGGATATATAGGGCTTCATCATACTGCTCTATACTTCTGTGTACATGAGAAATCTCCATAAGATATATATTTTTTGAGGGAGTGGAGACTACCCCAGAGTTTCTTACACAGAAAAATATTCTTAGGATATTGAAAATTGCTTGCAGTGGTTCTCATCCTTCCTAATGCCGCAACCCTTTAATACAGTCCTCATGTTGTGGTGACCCCCAACCATAAAATTATTTTCATTGCTACTTCATAACTGTGATTTTGCTACTGTTATGAATCGTAATGTAAATATCTGATATGCAGGTATTTTCATTGTTTGCGACCCACAGGTTGAAAACCGCTGCTTTAGAGCCTTTGAAAAAAGTTTTTCCAATTTAAAAGTTATGCATACATACTCATAAAAAAAAATCTAAAAAGGATTTTAAAAAATGTATCCACAGTCCTGACATTCGAAAATATAAACAATTTTAACATTTTGGTGTCTTCCCAGTCTTGTTTCTAAGTATGAGTTTATATGATATACTGTGATGATACTGTATATGATGTAGAATTTTTAGCATACGTGTTTAGGTTGTAAGGTCTTTGATTCTCCATACTCATTAGCTCAACAAATATTGTGCATATATTGTGCACCAGGCATTGTTCTAGGCTAAGAAGAAAATGTCAGGGAAACAAGTTTACAGGCCTTATTTTTAATTTTTCTTCTTGGCCTCATTCTACAGCCACACTATATGTTGTTTCTTTTATATCTTAACATTTTGTTCAAAAATACATATTAATAAAAGTTTTAAAATTGACAGCGGACCTTGAAAATATGACAACTGCTGAACGCATCACAATTCTTCAAGAAAAATTGCAAGAAATCAGAAAACATTATCTGTCATTAAAATCTGAAGTAGCTTCCATTGATCGTAGGAGAAAGCGTTTGAAGAAGAAAGAAAGAGAAAGTAAGTGCTTTTACCTTTACTTACGCATAAGGCAGCTGTGACTCTGCATTAGACTCACATGAGTTTGTCCTGTGTGTCTTCAGGCAAGTTCTCTAATCTGTCTGACTTTCCTCACTCTATCAAATGGAAAAACTTGCCTAAAGAAAAATGATCTCAAATCATAATGTTCACTTTCATAGAGCATACAGTCTGCCCCCAAAAAATCCTAATAAAATTTCGGTCAGTGAAAAGTGCCGTGGCCCTAGCCGGTGTGGCTCAGTTAGTTGAGCCTTGTCTCATGCACCAAGAGGTCACAGGTTCGATTCCCTGTCAGGGCACATGCCGGGGTTGTGGGCTTGATCCCCAGTACGGCCCGTGCGGGGTCAGCTGATCATGATTCTCTCTCATCATTGATGTTTCTTATTGTCCTCTCCCTTCCTCTCTGAAATCAATAAATATATATTTAAAAATAAAAATGAAAGTGCTATGAGAAAATAGACTCAATCTGAGGGAAAAACTTGTCTTTGTTTCAGCAAGGCTGCCATAACCAGGTGCCACAGACGGGATATGTGGCACCAGTGTTGGAAATAAGTAAGACCTAGAAAGGACAGGTTGAAGACTGGGGACACAGAGAGGACCAGAAGCTGTTTTATTCCTGTTACTTTTTGAAATGCCTCTTGGAATTCCAAGGGGCATGCCAGGTAGACAGTGGGATTTAGAAGTTTGTAGCTCGGGGGACAAATCAAGACTAGGGATATAATTTTCAATCCATTTATGTATCTATAGTACAACAGTTACTGCACGTGGTTTTTAAGCCCCAGTGCTTGAGTAGGTCACCCAGGAAAGAAGTGTGGATCGGGAAGAACAGGAAACCTGGAACAAGCCGGCGTTTATAGGTGGAGCGAGGAGAAGCCAGAGCAGCAGGGAGTAGCCTTGAAGGAAGAAAATGAGATGATGGCCAAGAAAAGAGTTTGAGGAGGAGGGGAGTAGCCAGCTGTGTGATGCAGTAGTTGAGCTGTGGACCCTTTTGTTCCATCTTTAAGAAGCAGGTAGCCTTCCATTTCATCACCATTTAAATTC